AGCAGTGTTGTTCTGTATCGACACAATCCATTGACAGATGCTTTTCTTTCAGGCAGTTTTCTCCAGAACTTGATTGTGGGTAAATATTGAATTTTCAGTCTTTAAGGAATAAATGTGCTTCTCATCAACAGACTTGCTGTCTCGTGTTTGACTCTGCTGAATTTGTGTATTGATCCACAGATCCATCACTTGTCCAACCTAATGCCATTTTATGTCTAGACTCTTTTGGAGTTTGTTAATCTCATCAGTTAATCTCTGTTTGTGGTATTTGGTCATGGAGAGAACAACAGTGTTCACAAAGGAGATTAGTTTGAACTGCTGAGGAAATGCCCTAAATTATGTCCCTCTGGCCTAATTCAAGGGTCTGAGAGGATTGTGAAGTGTTGATAAACTGTTGCTAGAGCAATACATGTAAGTGTTTAGACAGTCCCATATGAGGATGTAGAGAGATATATCTGTTGATGCATAGTCTGTCTGTACTCCCAGAGCTGAGCTAGTGACTCTCTGAGGACCTTGATAAGCTGGCCAGACACAGTGCAACCCGGGCACATGAAAAATACAGTTTTGCATTACATTGCTTATTGCATGTTGTGCTGTGGTTTCAAAGTGAAATGTCCAGTAAGTGGCACTAAAAAAGCATGTTCAGTTTCTCTTTTCACCTTGTTTTTACACAACTTTGTAAAAACAAAAGTTTTCACAAGTTTTGTGAACTTTTTGTCAAACCCATGTTTCACAGGAGTTGTACCCGAGCACTCTGCATTGCATAAACAGTCAGTTTACTAAATAAGAAAACCTGTACATGGAGTTGGATATGTGATGCAAACGTTAAAATGTATTTGTTTACAAATCATGCATTATGGTAAAAGTGTTTTAGGTGATAACATAGTATTCTGCATGTAACCATGTGAAAATTTAGTCTTTGATAATCTGCCCTTTAATCATAATTTGATTAGTGTTCATGTTAGCTGAAATCTGCAGCAAATTGTATGTATAGGCAAGTTTTGCAAAAAATGTAGGTAGATACACCTACCTACATTGTGCACATCACAGAAAATTGCTGCAATATATGAGGTGTCTCAATAAATGTTGTTCATTTGGTGGTTGTAACAGTTAGACTCCCAAAAGATGAAGGCTCGAAACAGCAGTGTGCTATAAAGCATAAATGTGACTTTATTTTGAAGTGTTCAGCGTTATCTCCACTGTCCAATTGAAGCAGCTGTATCAAGGTGATCTGCTTAAAGGGATTTCTGTGTAAGATTTCGCCTCACCTGTCTTAAGTCTCTTAAGCCTTGACCTTTGTTGTAATCAGCTTTCACATGCTGACCTAGGAAAAGAATGACCAGCTGTTCCCCCACCCAGAGTTCCCTCAGTGAAAGACTGAGAGAAAGCGATGAAGAATTATGCAGCTTTACGCAAGGTTAATACCATATTAATGCAGTTTAGTTTGACAGATGCTGCTAAACTCTCAGATGCTATCTACATAAAGCCTAGTCCACACAGAACCGTCTGATTGACTGGTTGGTAAAATTACCAACCTCAGTCTTATATGACATTTAGGGGTGACTAACTCTTAATTAAGATATACCACGAATGCTACAGAAATAAAGTGGTAGCCCATTTCTATTATGCTCACAAAGGCTGCATTTACTAAAAATAGTAATTTGATTTGATTTATTTGTTTTTCCTATTTATTGCTTTATATGCTTTTCCTATTTATTCTGTCATTAATTACTCACCGTCATGTCGTTCCAAACCCGTAAGATCTTCATTCATCTTCAAAACACAAATTAAGATATTCTTAATATCCTGTCTACGCAACACTGCAGACGGGATGAGGAGGAGAAGAATTGTTGAATAAAGTCGTTATTTTTGTTTTCTTTGTGCACAAAGTATTCTCGTAGCTTCGTAAAATTACGTTTGAACTAGGGGTGTGCGATATTGACAAAAAATTATATCTCGATATTTTATGGGATTTTATCGATAACGATAATTAGACGATATTTTGCTGAGTGTGTTATTGTGCTGGTACCTTAAGGACTGCTGAAGATAGCTGACTCATAATGTTTTTAATTTTCTTCATATTCTGTGTGGTGGTCAGTTCATACTGATAGAAATTAATCTTTTCCAATGAGTTTAAACTGATTTTTGCATTTTATGGGCATTTTTACCTTTATACTTTTTACCTTTTGAGTCAAATTCTTACATTTAATCAGGGAATTAGAATAATAAGACATTTGGGCTGTTACCAAGCAAATTA